TCAAGCTCATCGCTGTCTCGGGTCAAGGCACGGACAACCCCAAGCTCGTGCTCGAGTACATGGACGGCGGCAACCTCCGCCAGTACCTCGACAAGAAGCGCAAAGGTGAACCGACGGAGGTCGAGTACTCGACGCTGGAAGTGGCTGGGTCATTGCCAACGCCCTTGCTGATCTCCACCACAATGGATATGTGCACCGCGACCTCAAGAGCCTCAACGTACTTTTGAGCTCCTCCAACTACATCAAGGTGGCCGACTTTGGCCTCACGAAGGAGTTCCACCTCGACATGACGACGTTTGTGGGGACGCCGGCGTGGACGGCGCCCGAGGTCTTTGAGTCTGGAACGACGTACGACTTTGCGGCCGACATTTACTCGTTTGGCGTTATTTTGACGGAGCTTGATTCGCTCCAGGTGCCATATGCGGGCTTGAACGTCTTCTCTGTCATTGACGGCGTTCGCAGCGGCGAGCTGCGTCCATCTCTTGGGCCGCATTGCGCGCCGTGGCTCAAAGACCTCATCAACGACTGTTTGTTGACGGATCCGGCGCTGCGTCCGAGCGCCCAAGTCATCATCAACCGCCTGCTCCAGCAGAACGACGAGGCGCCAATCATCGTCAAGCCAGAGCCAGAGCCGATGCCAGCATGTTTGATGGACACCTGCACCAGCTCGACCTCGGTAAGGACTCTTGAGCTAGTTTGTAACCTCGGACGATCCATGCCTTGTAGTCGGTGACAACAATGTCGTCTGTGGCCGCTATGAGCAGCCGCATAGCTTGCCCTCTATGCACGACGCGGAACGCTGCCATTGACAAGCACTGCAGCAGCTGCAGCGAGCCGCTGCCGGATACATCCACCAAGCTCGCGCTCTTGCTCAAGCGCGCCAAGGTCGCTGTCACCAAAGGCTTCTCGATCAACCTTTGCATTGATTGCGATATTTGCGGCATGACCAACCCGATCACAGCGGCAACGTGCGTGGATGCCGACTGCGGCGATGACCTCCTAGACGACGCCGAGAAGCTGCGCATCCTCGCTCGTCGCTTGGACATCGCAACGAGCTCGGCTTGAGCGGTGGCGCAAAGTGGAGCGTGATAAGACTCAAAGGATATCAGTTCTTATGGTCGACGGCATGTGTATGACAATGGTTGCGGTATTACCGGTCGTTGTCAGCCGGTCTCTGGTTGCTTTCGGTCGTACTGTACATAAATTCAATTGAAATTATGCACCCTTGCAACCGACCGTTCAAGTCCGATACGAACATGTTCTCTTTGTCGGCGAACCTGGCTGCGGCAAAACCACCATCGTCCGCGAAGTCTCTCGGCAGCTCGCGACCAAGTACAATGTTGACACGAGCAACGATATTGCACTCGCTATAGTATATCTTGCCGTCCCACCCAGTATCTTGCGCTCGAGCTCGGTGGCCAATCAAAGCGATAAGATTGGGATTCTGATTGAAATTTTATATATAATATAAAGCATGTGAGTTTTTCAGCATACAAAAGGAGCGTCATAACCTTCCACTTTAAATAATTATCCGGTTTGCACCCGCATAAAAAAACAGAAGGATTCGGATAAAAAGTATCAAGTTGGCCCAACGAGACGCCGCTGGCAGATTGCAATGGGCGGTGTTTTCAGCTCCAGCGCGGCCAGCAAGGTCCGCGCCGACGGCGCGCCGAGCGCCCGCGACGCCGTCCGCTGCCCACCTGCTCAGCGCGTGCCTGTCGCCGAGCCTGTCGCCGAGCCTCGTCCGGTCCCGGAGAGCCGCGACGAGACCGCAGATGCCCCTGTGTCGACGCCAGAAAATGAGCGCACACTCTACGATGCGCTGGTCGTGCATCTTGCGGCGTCTGTGCGAGCAGCAATGATCGTCCAGGCCACGAGGAACCGGCGGCCGTCGTTCGCCGTGGCCACGATAACGAGCATGGTCGAACAGACGACGTACGTGCCGAGTGGCGAGATCACCGCCGTGACCGCGACCATTGTGGAGCTGCTGACCGCCGAGCCAGGCATCGCGCTACATCCCTCGCGCAAGTATTTTGTCTTGGATGCAACGAAACTCACGCCAGACACGGAGGCTGCTGCCTCGAGCACGGACGCCTATGACGCCTTGAACACGCTGGTGCGACGCCTGGCGCAAGAGATCGCTTTGAAACCCGTGACGCACGCGGCCATCGGGAAGCACGCCAAGAATGCACTTGCACACTGCGCTGGGCTCTCCAACACGCTGGCCAGGCGTATCGTTGTCCAGCATCTGCGGCGTCTCGGCTGCATCGCGAGCTCGACGGACG